TATTAATACATTAATGTAGACAATAGTATTGAATTCTTACAATTGTGTGGAACCTATATGTTGCATTTTTACTTATGACAATACAAGGGTACTCACAAAAGGTATTGCTATTAGAGTTCTCATCATACAAGCACAGATTTATTCCAAATAAAACATATTTACGCATGTCTTTATATGTAAAGACGAGTCTAGACCTACATGGAGGCTAAGTTGACAGACAACAGCTTCACACTTTTGTATTTTTATTGAGTAATGGTTTCTATGATTTTGTAGCGAATTCCCTCAGTAATACACTGTCTTGCTCTCATTCTCGAACTCATGGCCATGAAGGAGATTCTGACCCACAGCCACCCTATAGGGCAGAATAAAACTGCAACTGTGGTTTCCAAAACTAAATCTTTACGCAAGTACGAAGCCTCATCTTTCTTTTGTGCAGCGACTGGCTCTTCAAATGGCTGACCTTGAGTTTGGCAGTCAAAACAATGGCTTCCGAGAGAATCTGTTGAGTCAATTAAATCTAGCGCAGAGAGGTAGTTCAGAGTTTTATGGTGATCCTCTTGGGATTCCAAAGGAGGAAAATGTTATTGATAGATTTTTCTCAAAAATCAAAGGACGATCATAGGTTTATTATGAAGTTTTTAAGAAAATTGAAAACTGTATTGGTGAGAAAGATACTAGGATGATTGCATCAAGGAATTTTCCCCCATCATTGACAGGCACCTGCTCATTCTTCAAAGGTAACAAGGAATGTTCTTTGAGAAATTTTGTTGGGAACACTGACCTCATCATCCACACTAGAGCCCTGAGCTTGCCCCTTTAGATTTCTTTCAGTTCCTCAAACTTAAAGAGCATGTGAAGGGAACACACATTTGAGTGGCCCAAACTGTTGTGGATGTGATGTTGGTTGAGGAAGGCAGAATTCTTCCGGGGAAGGGTTGAGAGATGGAAACACCAGCTTCAGACGAGTCTAGACCTACATGGAGGCTAAGTTGACAGACAACAGCTTCACACTTTTGTATTTTTATTGAGTAATGGTTTCTATGATTTTGTAGCAAATTTTTTTATCTAACTTTGTTTATATATATAAATTTCGAGATGTTGTCCAATACATTAAGATTTAGAAACTTCAGTAGTGGCAGTTTAAAGACTATTTTGTTACTAGTAATGGCTTAATACCTAAAAAGAGACCAGAGTTCTTCACGAGGTAAATTAACTTGAGAAATATGCCAATTTTGACTTCATTTCCATCCCATTGAATGACTGCATTCATTCTCTTTAGATTTAAAGCTCTTCATTCTACAGCTCCTCAACACCCTTTATAGAATTCCAGCTTGCTTTTCACCTACCTTTTAACAGTTTAACATAGATGGCTGGATCAAGTCTATTGTTCCAATTGTATGTAGCATAAAAGGCTCTGCTGTATTTTACTCTCTCCATTGTATCTGGCTTCCCTGAGTGCTCGCTCCCTGCATTTTACTCTCTGTTTTCTAAACCCATTTATGCCTGCTCTTTCTGAAGACACTTGCTCATCTGGGAGCTCAAATTGACTCCTCTCCATTCTATTTCCTTAACTAAAAATGCACCATTAAGGTTGATTGAACTCTTTTTAAAGCACTTCATAAAAATGAAAGGCCTTAAGAAAGTAGGCTACCAGTGTTTGTAAATACCTGTTTTCAGCTAAATTGATAGGAAGGGATAAGAAATAATTGGAAACTTAAAAATGTTATTGATATATATATATATATTTCACAGATTAGTCTCTTTGGGCTATTCTTTGAGAGACACAAAACATTTTTGTCTGGGGTTGGGAAGGAATGAGTATTCTGTTATAACAGGAAATGGAAGAAATATATCGTGGAGTCAAATCATTAAAATTATGAGAAACATTTTCTAGAAAAAGATAAAACTAATGTTTTGTGATAAGCAAGATGTAAAATATGTCAAGTTCATGATTAAAATCTACAGCTTTCCAATCATATCACCTTAATTTCTTTTTTTCTGTTTAAAATACAGTCATTGCTATTTTTACAGCATACAAATCATTACTAACTTTTTTACCCCCTAATGGTGTTATGTTTACAAATGGGACTATGCTGGTATGAAAGATTTTTAATAGGTGGAAGTGAATTAGATTAAAGACCAGTGATAAGAAGTGATAAGATTAAAGACCACATACAATGTATAACACCATTCATGAAAAATACTTCATAGCCATTTCTTGATGTTTGATAAAAATGTAAATAATTTTAAACATTTAACAAAATATTTTTATTGATCTTATTATTTTGATGGATCTTTACCAAAGCATCTGAAAAATAATCTCATATTTTAATGACAATATAATGAAAACATGTTCAAGTTTTAAAATAGGTATTTTTAAATCAGAGAGACTTAAATGGAAAATGGTAATGTTGTGGAATTGCCATTTACCACTGTTTAAATAGCTGCTATTTTCTTGATTTACTTAAAGAGCACAAAATAGTTAAAGGTAAGGTCTAAGTAAACTATATTACCTGTAATAAAAGGTGCTTTTTAAATGACTACTAAGTCCCTTTGAATGTGTGATTTTATTTCTAGGTTACAGAATTTCATGATTTTGCTAGGAAATCATTCATTGTGTTTAAATTGTACGGAAAGACCATCACCTAGCCCAAGAGCTTAAGGTCTGAAAGTGCATCAACTGAGTGTGAAAAGCATCTTTTGAATGGTGTATGAAACAGTTTTATTCACAACTGAGAAAAAAATTAAAAAGCAGGAGTAGAATACTTCATATTTTTTAAAAAGAATCATTTAGTAAAACAATATTTCTAATAAAATAACTGTGTACTCCTTCTTGGCCCAGTTATAAAAAACAATAACAAACTACAATTGCAATTCGGTACAAGGTTTTCTTTAAAAGTATTTTTAGCAATGATGGAAATGTGTAGGAAAATAAGAACATTTAAGCACTTAGAGGTTGTTCAGAAGCTTAGTTTTATAGCATAGGTATTAAAACAAATTAGTTTCTATCCCATAAAGAATTAGGTTCTATTTCCATAAAGAATCTGATTTCATTAGATTCATTGAAGAGCTAACAGAGCTTGGCCAAAGTACTTGCTCCTGCTCATACAGAACTTGATAGAACGTATTTTCTTAATGTAGCATTTGATTGAAGCTAAGAGCCTAGGGTGTAACTAAGAGTAAGATCTAATGTTTTAAAACACTCAACACTTCTTGTAATGTATGACCCTGTAATGTAAGTAGTAAAATAGCATGTTACTTAAATGTAAGAATTATTTTACAATGAGTCTGCAGTACCTGAAAACACACACAATGTACATTAACGATGAGGTAAAATTTTGTGTCAATGTCAGAAAATTCAGGACTATAAATCTAGTAACATTCTCACGGAGCAATCCATTAATTGCAGTTAACATCGTCACTGTTAGGTCATCTACATGCAGTTCAGCGTTGTACATTTTTAATCTGTAGTTAAGGCACTCTGGCTATTCCAGCTTCCCAGGTGGTTTGTGGAGTTGCCCTGCATGTAAAACAAGCCAAACGTCCATGCATATGACTGCATGCAAAATAAATCCATCAAGTCATTTGCTATTCATTCTTCCCCAGTGTATTTAACAAAGAAATAATTTTACTGACATTTTCCCTCAACTCAGTACACTGGAAAAGAATGGACAGTTTACAGTTTTCACAGCATTCAGGCTTTAAGACAGCTGATAATTAAATGGCACAGTTGTAAGCTTTCTAAGTATTATTTGATGCCACATCCAGTAATTGAAAAAAACCCAGTAAATTTGGAGTCTGGAAATCTAGGACTCAGAGTGATGTCTACTCTTTTTTAATCCATAGATTTCTCATGTATAAATAAAGACAGTGCATGCTATGTCTAATTCATATACTTATTAGAATAATCATTGATACTGTGAGTCAGAGGTTACAAGTTAAAAATATTGCCAATAACTATACACATGTCTGTTGTGTTGTAATCAGGTATAATGTATTACAAATAATTTATAACTATAACTTAAGTACATATTTCTTATTCTTAGTGTTAACAAGTTACGTATTACAAGTTACTGTATTTTACTTTGAAGAAGAAATTCAGGGGCAAGTAAAAATTAATTAAAAACTTTTTTTTTTTTTTTAATTAAAAACTTTTTAATGAAAAGTATAAAGTGTCTTAAGCTTTGATAATGTGTATGTAAAAATAAAATTATCAAATGTTTTAAAATGAATAGAAAAATGATTCAAAATGTGTCAAACGTTAACTAAATGAGGTTAACTAAATGATGTATAACAAGAATAACTATAGATTTTGTTCTTGAAAAAAATTCCCTAGTGAAGAGCTATTATATTTATTTCTCCACCACCTTTATTATTTACCTCAGTTGCACACATGTGGCATGGGTGCGGTGTAGTAACAAACTGTGAAGAGCAGGCCTCTCCCACACTGTGAAGAGCCGGCCTCTCCCGCACGCTCAGGAAAGCAGTTGTTAAGACTAATGGGCAACACAGACATCTTCTGGGCACCTTAAGAACTGCACAGTTGGGTTTGCATGATTACCAGGCGTTCCAATCAATTGATGGCACTCAGTCCTTCATAAGCGTAGCAGTTATTTTAAAGAAACACACAGTAAGAGCTTCAAAATCAATCTGTTACTATATTAAAAATTTCAAATAAGACGTGATTAAATTAAAAACACTTAAAGAAGTGAACTACAAAATTTTTTTCACTTTGGAATTATATAGTTTCCAAAATAATGGTAAAATAATTTCTAAATAGCTTATAAAGTACAAATATATTAATAAAATAATATATTTTATTTTAATATAATAGAGTATCATGAAACTATGTAGAGTTGAACCAAAATCTGCAAACATTTAGACATTGTGCTTTTATATAAAAAGATGACTGATTTACTCATCAATGTAAAGAACTGTAGTTAACAAATAAATATATAAGTTCAAAACAATATTTGATTGATTTATCATTTATCCTAGTACTTACTATTCAGTATAATAGTTTAGAAAAACTATTTTAAGTAAAATACTACTATTAAAGGTCAAAAATTAAAATTTCTACACTCAGGTTAAATATATCTTTGCTTTAGGATCACTGTGGGCATAATATATACAACAGGAATTTGGATATGAAATTATTCTTTTTCCTCTTTTCTTGGAATCTGAGTGACGGAGTGGTCAAATTCAGGAGCTACTATTAAAGGCCACAATTTACATCTCTAAACAATTTGGGGAGCAGCCTTGTTGGAGGATATATATTTTGTAAGTAGAAGGTGAAAACTGTAATCTTTAGTTAAACTAACAAAAATCTTGCTTTTGTGAGAGCTGTTTTTGGTAAGAACTACATGCTTTATTTTTTTATAACCCCAAATGAAGAGGCATTATATGAAATATGCTTATTGTTACTTTTTCTTAATATCTTCTTATGCTGGCCATAGTGATATTTTATGAATAAATCTTTCCATTACTGGGAGGAAGGATTTAGTTCTCTGGACTTGGTTGCATGCCACTTTTACCTTTTCAAACTGATGGTTGCTATAATCCTAGTTCATGATTCTCTCTAGCATAGACATCCAAAGAAAAACTAGAATAACCATAAAGAAAGCAATAAAGGAGTGATTTGAGGTAGAATTCACCAGGGGTGATAATGGAACAGAAATGCTTTAGTAACAGGATTATCATATTCATATTTTTTTCACCCACTACTCTCTACCGGTTTTTGTACAACTACTAAAGAGAAATAGATCTCTTGCTGTATCATCATTTCTCCTTAAGCAGTTACATTCGATTTGACCTGGGAAGGTTGTTAACAGGCATTCTGTAAGAAAGAAAACATCTGTGAGTGGATTCATGGTGATATAATTTTTAGTATTTCAGCTAACAAGGTAATTCTATAGTGAACACTTTGTCTTTTATTATGTGTACAATTTCAAGAAGACACTAAAAAAAAAAAGAAAAGAATTTTGATATTTGAATCCTGGGGAACCAGTGGGATATGACAGGTTATAACAGCGTAGCATGTCAGTTAGCAAGAGTCAGGCCTAAGCTAGATCCGCTGCCAGGACAGGGCAGTAGCTGGGACAAGTTAACTGGGGTAGGTCAGTAGTAATTGGGAATCTAGGCAGATGGGGGCTGAGCACCACAGAGGATTCTTAATGGAACTAGCAGTTTCTAAGGCACTGAGCTGGGCTCTGGGAGGGGAGACAAAGGAAAGATAAAAAGAAGAATTTCAACAAATTTGTAAAATGCTTGGCCTTCATAATTTCCTAGAGTTGAATTTATCTGCTGATATGGAGTACTGTGAGTTTGAGGAGAATGCAATTAAAAGTAATTTGCATGTTATCATTCCAACGTTTCCATTAGCAGCCAAGTACCATGCCACCACGGCTCCTCCCATTAAAACTATGTGAGCACTATTCCACTTTGATAGCCATTTTGATGGAAATAAACTGGACTTTGGGAAAGGTTTGGTGAGTGTGGGAGAAGTCTTATTCTAGGGCTAGCAGCTTTTCCTAGTTCCAGAATAAGTATATAATAGTTAATAATAGTATTTCCTATTTTTATATGTGAATGGCAAATGTGGGGAGAATTTCCAATACATGATGAGAAATGATAAGTTATACACAAAATAATTTTACCTCCCTTCTTCTTGGTTACTCTGGTGTGTTTGCGCAGTTAGAGATGTGACATTCTGTTGTGATAAAAGAGATTGGGAAAGATTTGTCCCTCTTAGTTGCCGAAAAGCTGGTTCTGTATGGAAGCTTCGGGTGTTATTTGTCAGATTCACTGCATTCTTGGTTTTTTTGTCTGAAAGTAGGAATTCAGACAGTTAAAATTATACAGCAATACAAAGCATTAAGTAATATAAATGTTTGGTTATCCTTCAGTTAAATATATATGCGATATATGTTCATAACATGAATGTTAAATTTCAAATAAAAATATAAGCCTGGAATATATCACCAGCACTTCATGCTCCTTAAATTTTTTCTGATCCAGGGAATACATTTGAAGCTAGATAATTTTTTAAAATATAAAAATCCAGGATTGCATGATATAATAAATGGACAGATAAAATGATGTTATTATTTTAAAAAATTGGGGCAAAATAAAAAACACAAAAGAGATTATGGGATATTTCTAGAAAATCTTATCAATTAGTAGTACCTGAAAATCTAGAAGAGAAATTCATGAAAAGGGAGTTAGGGAGAAGAATTCAGGGTTCATGGCATTTCTGAATATAACACTTTGTGGTTAAGGAGACTAGTCACAATACGGAATGTCCAACCTCTACTACTTGTCTGTCAGTGTGTTACTCTGTGATGGCTTGTGTGTTCCTGTAGTCCTAGAAGATATGCCACCACGTGTCTCGACTACTAACAGAGTGACCCAGGATGGTCAGATTTTTAAAAAGCGGACTAGTGAAAACCTTATGCGTAACATGAGAAGGTTGTTTGAAATAGTGATGGAAGGTGAGCCTCTCAAGTTGAAAGGCACTCAAACTATGAACAGGGAAGAGCTGTCTCCTCAAAACAAGAGTTATCCTTAATGAGGCGGCTAGAATAAAGCTTTCAGGTCCCTACTTTGTAATGCGGTACTACTGAAAGCAAGAAGAAACAGCTGCAAGCATCCATTAATAATTTGAATGTGAAATCTATGAAATATGACTCGTGGAAAAGAAGAAATTGTCAATAACAAATGAATGCATGAAGTGAACTGAAATGGACTAGTACTGGCTATTTTGAATCAATCATATAGTCTACTATCTGGGGAATGATAAATTGAAGGAAGCATTGCATTTATTGTCAAAAAGAGTTTTTCAAAATCTGTCCTAAAATACAATGCTGTCAATGATAAGGTAATATCCATATGCTTATAAGACATACCTGTTAATAAAACTATTATTCAAATTTATGCACTAACCACTAATGCCAAAGATGAAAATATCACTGGTTCTACAGAAGCAATTTCTGCAGTCTTAAATTGATCAAATATAACTGATAATTACTGGTGATTAGAATGTGAAAGTTGGAAACAAGGATGAAAGATCAGTAGTTGAAAATATGCCCCTTCATTCCATGATGCTCACCTTCCCGACAGGATTGCTGAAGACAAAATGGGTGCATAAGCAAATGTGGTGAAGAAAGCTGATGGTGCCTGGATATAAAAAGATATAGCATCTGGGGTCTTAAAGGCTTGAAGATAAGAAAGTGGCCATCAAGCTCAGAAGCAACAAAGCCCACATGGAAGAAGCACACCAGCCTGTGTGATCACGAGGTGTTGATGGGATCAGGTTTCAGGCATCAAAGAACAAAAAATCATATAATTGTGAATGAGGGGGAGTGCAGAGTAGAGACCCAAAGCTTATCTGTAGGCAACTGGACATCCCCTTACAGAAGGGTCATGGGGTGGAGACAAGCCAGTCAGGGTGCAGTGCGGCAACAATGAAACATACAACTTTCCTCTAGTTCTTTAATGCTTCCTACCCCACCCCCCCACCACTATCATGACCCCAGTTCTACCTTACGAATCCGAGTAGACCAGAGGATGTACACTGGTACAGATAGGAACTGGAAACACAGGGAATCCAGGACAGATGAACCCCTCAGAACCAGTGGTAAGAGTGGCTATACCAGGAGGGTGAGGTAAGGTAGGTTAGAAAGGGGAAGCCGATTACAAGAATCTACATATAACCCCCTGCCGGGGGGCCAGACAACACAAACGTGGGTGAAGGGAGACGTCGGACAGTGTAAGACATGACAAAATAATACTAATTTATAAATTATCAAGGGTTTGTGAGGGAGAGAGGGCAGGGAGGGAAGGTAAAAAATGATGAGCTGATACCAAGGGCTCAAGTGGAAACAAATGTTTTGAGAATGATAATGGCAAAAAATGTACAAATGTGTTTGACACATGAATGGCTGTATGGATTGTGATAAGAGTTGTACGATCCCCCAATAAAATGACTGAAAAAAAGAAAATATGGACCCTTATAAATTCTATACCATTGGCTAAATTAATGACACTATTAGAAGAATTAACTTATGCCCCAGCAGGATAATTGATAATGTGCTCTAACATAAAATGACAATATCTCTAAGGTGTATCAGAGACCTATATAAACCATAGATATATGGATTTTAGGCTTGCACTTGATTTTAGCTCCAACTTAAGAACAATTAGTTCTTATGACATGGCCCTATTTGATGCTTACCCTCATGATGAGATCACTGAAGATAAGGGTGCTATAGCAAAGTATGGTGAGGAAACTAGATGGTGCTTGGCTATCTAAAGGAATAGCATCTGGGCTGTTAAATCCTTGTCTTCAAATAAGCAAGTGTTTGTTTGAAGTGAGGCGTCAACCTAGCACACCAACCTGTGTGATCCAAGGATTTTTAATTTAAAATATTCAAATCTGAATGAGGGAATGGGATTAGTGTAGTATTAAATTTAAAAAATTGGCGCTGGGGGGTGAAAGGCCAGTCCCCACCCACTACTACTACTATTACTACTACTCGGATTCAGTAATACTACTTCTGGGTTCAATAATGCACAATTGTACGGTTGAGATATATAAGTATTATATTAAAGTCATCAAGAGCATGAGAGATAATACAATAATACATTCATACATATTACATGGTAGCATTGCTCATCTATGCCCCGCTTGGTGGTCCTTGTGGGGGGAACCCGGCTGCCAGAGCAGGAGCCGCCTCCCTCGCGGGAGCTGCCCTCTCGTCCACCACCCTCATGGGAGCAGCCCCCCATGGGAAACAGCCCTCCTTCCTCAGCTGCCCTCTGCCAGCCACCCTCGGCTGGCCACCTCCATGGGAGCAGCCCCTTCTTGGGAGCAGCCCCCTTATTTATTGCTAATCACGCATCAAATTATTATAGGGGGATACATCACAGCATTATGTGTCACCGAGAAGGGCAGTATGATTCATCCGTGAACAGGTTTGATCATTCTGGTGTCTCATACAATAAAGCAGGCAATTACTATCCTATGAGGCATGCAAGCCCCCTGATAGCAGATAAAACTACGTCATAGAGAGGGGTTGTAACATAGGCAATACAAGCAATAGGAGGGGGATGATCTAGTCATCTTAGCATGGTCCCGGGCTTGCCTTTGGGCACTGCTTCAAGGGAACAATAACAGAAAGGAATGGGCCCTATTTGGAGTGAGTCAGACTATACAGTCTGGCCGCTCTAGATGGCTGATGTTAAGGAGAATAACCTCTGACCTATTTTCGCTGCCTAATGAACAGTTAATCTCAAGCAAAGTCTGGCATATGTTTTGGGGAGACAATTTAAGAGAAATCCTTCTTTTCCTCACAGATTAGAGCTTACAAATGTGAATGAACATTCAGTTTGCAGAAGGCTCTGGGTGACAATGGAAGCTCCAAATCCACTTACAGGTCTACACCTGGATTAAGTCTCCAGTGAATCCCCTCTGACCACAATGAGGGCTGTGAATAGGCTTGTTATTACAGAGAACATTGTAAAGTCAGTTATGCAAGATGTATAATGGTTATAATGTAATATCATTTGATTTCCCTTCTGACACACTTTAAAGTTGTTACAGTTATAAAAGGTGAAGGGGAATGACATGGTGCATCCCCTCTGACCAGAGACCAGGAATGTGAACAGCCTTGCTGTCAAGCAGAGTGTATTGGAAAGTGGATTATTACAGATGTAATTAGGTTAAAATTTAAAACCTTATCATGTGATCTTCCCATTAACCCATTTTAATTTTTGTCTAGTTTTTAGTATTCTATGCTTTCTTTTCTATTGAAGTTTTTCTCTATTTCACTTTTTTACTGTTGTTATTTTTCTTTATAAATGTTTTCCTATGTATGGAATTCAGGATTGGTAAATACATAGAGACCATAAATGGATTAAAGGTTCCTTGGGAGTATGGCAGGAGAGGCTGGAGGGAAATGAGGGCTACTAACGATGAGTACAAGAATGAAGCACATGTTCTAAAATTGATGGTAGTGATGATTGTACAACTCTTTGTGTTATGACTGAACTACTGAATTTTATGGTTTAGGAATTATATACCAATAGAACTGTTAAAAAGAAAATATTTAAAAGAAAACTGTTGGTGACAGAAAATCACATAATAGAAATTGCAAGTGAAACAACTTATACATTGCTAAAAACTCTGTTTCAAAAACATAAAGGGAAACTATACAGGTAGGCCTTTCAGGAACCATACTGACTATATCTATGAAGACATGATGGAGAAGCTCAAAATCCTCAGTTAGAATCACGCCAGGGGCTGAAAGTAGAACAAATTTCAATCGCTCAAATGAAAGTTCAATATGAAGCTCAAAAAAAAAGGAAACATAGATTGAGAGCCAAGGTATGGCCTTGAGTATATCCCACCTGGATTTAGAGACTCTCTCAATAATATATTTGATGCACTGGTCACTAGTGACTGAACACCAGACAAGTTGTGAGATGAGATCAAGAATAGTGTCCCTAAAGAAAGCCAAAAGGCCATCAAAAAGACAGGGAACATGTTAAGACCAAAATGTATGTCAAAAAGAGACTCTGAAACTTGCTCTTGACTGTAGGGTAGCTAAAGCAAGTGGAAGAAATGCTGAACTAAGAGACTGAACAGAAGATTTCAAAGAGTGGCTCTAGAAGACATAGTATGGGCAAGTATCATAATGCAGTGTGAAAGGCCTGAAATGACAAAACCCAAAGGGACAAACACACTTGGTATACCTCAGGGTGAGAGAATTGGAGGAAAAATTCAAGTCTCATGATGAAATATTGAAAGACTGAGAAAAACCATGAAC